GGACTCGATCCACAACGCTATATAGAGCACAACCGCGGCATGGCACATCGCAGTTCAGCACGGCCCAGCACAGCACAGCCGTCGGCACGGTACATCAAGATCGATACACTCAACTATGCACCTTGGCACGTTCCTTGGCGCGTTCCGTGGCGAGTCCACCTGGCACGTCCCGTGCCGAGTCCCCCTGGCACGTCGCGCGGTGCACGTCCATTGGCACGTTCCGTAGCGCGTCCCCTTGGCACGTCCCGCGGTGCGTGCCCATGGCACGTCCCCTGGCACGTCGCTTGGCGCGTCCCTTGGGACGTTCCGCGGCGCGACCTCCTGGCATGTTCCGTCTGTCGATTAGTTCTGGGGCAGCTACCATCTGCTCAGGCATTTCGAGCTTACGCTCCAGATCAGTTCGGTGGCGACTCGGATGCCAGGGAGGACTCGATCCACAACGCTATATAGAGCACAATCGCGGCATGGCACATCGCAGTTCAGCACGGCGTAGCACAGCACAACCCTCGGCACGGTACATCATCATCGATACATTCAGCATTGCATGTGCCCGTCGCCCAATCAGGTGTCTTTGAAATGTTGCAATGCCTTACATTTCTATATTCCTTTCCGGGTTCGTGGGTCGATCATGTTTTTCATCGAGCATCTCCTTGTAGTCCGAAGGCGAAAACCCACCCCCACCCCCAGTCCCGTAGCCCATCCCCGAGCCGGCGATTCAAGGGGCCGGGACTGGGGGTGGGGGTGGGTTTTCGCCTTCTCATGTAGGGGGACACGCCCGACTCAACCCTAGCCCTTGCCCGTTTCGCGTGCTTCGCACCTGCGGGTGCGCTCCCCCTCTCCCCCTCCCCTTGGGAGACGGGGGCGATCGGTTGTCTCGGGAGAGTGCCGTGTCACTTCCCGGAGCCCATGGCTCCGTCACTCCCCCACTTCCTCCATCTCCAGAGGCCGCTGGAGACCTCCAGAGCCAGTCAGGGATTTCCAGAAACCTTCTGGAACTTCTTGGGACCTCCAGAGACATCCTCTTGTTCCTTAGCTCCAGATGCAGCACCACGGGCGTGCAGATTCGCATCACGGGCTTTTTGTGTCCGGAAAGGGCGTGAGCCCACGGTTCTATTTTAGAGGGTTCCCCCCAGAATCGACGGCTGCAGGGCTGGCGGATTTATTTTCGGTAAATATCCAGGTCGCGTAGGGCCGGCGAATTAAGAATTCGAAGATGTCTCGAGGGAAACGCTTGTTGTTCTCCGAATTTGTTGAGGATCTCTCGAGCGAAACGCTTGTTTTGTGTTATAGATTGTTCCTCTCCTGGTGAAATGCTTGTTTTCATTTGCCCAGATCGAGCGAGACGCTTGGTTTCACGCGTCCAGGTTGCCCAGACATATGTCTAGCATGATGATTTGTTGAGGATATCTCGAGCGAGACGCTTGGTTACGCGTCCATGTCGCTCAGGCGGATGTCTAGCATGAGGATTTGTTGAGGAAATCTCGATCGAGACGCTTGTTTGCACGTGTCCAGGTTGCCCAGACAGATGTCTAGCATGAGGATGTGTTGAGAACGTCTTGAGCGAAGCGCTTGTTTTAACGTTTCCAGGTCGCCCAGGTGGATGGCTGACATGAAGATGTGCCGAGGATGTCTCGAGCGAGACGTTTACTTTCATGTGTCCAGGTCGCCCAGGCGGATGTCTAGCATGAGGAGCAGTTGAGAACGTCTCGACCGAAACGCTTGTTCCCGGAAAGGGCGTGGGCCCAGGGTTCTCTCTTCTAGGGGTTTCCCCCGCAGCCTCGACGGCTGTAGGGCCGGCGAATTTAATCTGCGATGAATAACGAGGTCGAGTAGGGCCGGCGAATGAAAGTTTGAGAATGTCACGAGCGAGACGCTTGTGTTGCCCGAATGTGTTGAGGATGTCTCGTGCGAAACGCATGTTTTGTGTTATAGAAGGTTTTTTCTTGGGGACCAGAATTCAGAGAATCTCTCAAGTGAAATGCTTGTTTTCACGTGCCCAGGTCTTGAGGATGTCTTGAGCGAGACGCTTGGTTTCACGCGTCCAGGTTGCCCAGACATATGTCTAGCATGATGATTTGTTGAGGATATCTCGAGCGAGACGCTTGGTTTCACGCGTCCAGGTCGCTCAGGCGGATGTCTAGCATGAGGATGTGTTGAGGAAATCTCGATCGAGACGCTTGTTTGCACGTGTCCAGGTTTCCCAGACAGATGTCTAGCATGAGGATGTGTTGAGAACGTCTTGAGCGAAGCGCTTGTTTGAACGTGTCCAGGTCGCCCATGCACAGCACAGCCCTCGGCACGGTACGTCAAGATCGATACACTCAGCATTGCAACCTGGCACATTCCCTGGCACATTCCGTGGCGCGTCCCGTGGCGAGTCACCCTGGCACGCCGCGCGGCGCATCCCCTGGCACGTCCCGTGGCACGTCCAGTGGCACGTTACGTAGCGCGTCCCCTTGGCACGTCCCGCGGTGCGTCCCCATGGCACGTCCCCTGGCACGTCGCGTCGCCTGGCGCGTCCCTTGGGACGTTTCGCGGCGGGACCTCCTGGCATGTCCCAGTGTCAATTCGCTCTGGGGCAGCTACTATGTGCTCAGGCAGCTCGAGCTTAAGATCCAGATCAGTTCGGTCAGGACTCGGATGTAAATGAGGACTCGATCCACAACGCTATAGAGCACAATCGCGGCATGGCACATCGCAATTCAGCACGGCGCAGCACAGCACAGCCCTCGGCATGGTACATCAAGATCGGCACACTCAGCATTGCAACCTTGTACGTTCTGTGGCGCGTCCCGTGGCGAGTCCCCCTGGCACTTCGCGCGGCGCGTCCCCTGGCGCGTCCGGTGGCACGTCCAGTGGCACGTTCCGTAGCGCGTCCCCTTGGCACGTCCCGCGGTGTGTCCCCGTGGCACGTCCCCTGGCACGTCGCTTGGCGCGTCCCTTGGGACGTTCCGCGGCGCGTCCTGCTGGCATGTCCCCCTGTCAATTAGCTTTGGGGCAGCTACTATGTGCTGAGGCAGCTCAAGCTCACGATCCAGATCAGTTCGGTCAGGACTGGGATGCAAAGGAGGACTCGACCACAACGCTATAGAGCACACCCGCAGCATGGCACATCGCAATTCAGCACGGCGCAGCACAGCACAGCCTTCGGCACGGTACATCAAGATCGATGCATTCAGCATTGCATTTGCCCGTCGACCAATCAGGTGTCTTTGACACGTTCCCATGCCCTACGTTTCTAGATTCTTTTCTGGGTTCGTGGGCCGATAAGGTTTTTACGTGTTCACGTTACCCAGGCGGACGTCTGACAGGAAGACGTGTCTAGGATGTCTCGAGGGAGCCACTTGTTTTCATTTGTCCAGTTCGCCCAGACGGATGTCTAGCATGAGGATGTGTTGAGGATGTGTCGAGCGAAACGCTTGTTTTCACGTGTCCAGGTCGCCCAGGCGGATGTCTAGCATGAGGATGTGGACAGGATGTCTCGAGCGAAACGCTTGTTTTCACGCGTCCAGGTTGCCCTGGCAGATGTCTAGCATGAGGAGGTGTTGAGGATGTCTCCATCGAGACGCTTGGTTTCACGTGTCCAGGTTGCCCATGCGGATGTATAACATGAGGGTGTGTTGAGGAAGTCTCGAGCGGGACGCTTGTTTTCACGTTTCCAGGTCGCCCAGGCGGATGTCTAACATGAGGATGTGTTGAGGATGCCTCGAGCGAAACGCTTGTCGCGGTAAAGTGCATCGCAGTCCAACCCCGCCCGTCCGTGGGGCGTCGCCTGGCGCGTTGGTGCGTCCCCTGGCGCGTCCCTTGCGACGTTCTGGCGTGACGTGTCCTGGCACGTCCCCTAGCACGCCACTCGGCGTGGCACGTTCCCTGGCTCGTCCTTTTGTCGCGTTTCCTGGCTCGCCCCCAGGCGTTTCCCCTGCCCGTTCCGTGGCGCGCCCCTTGCAATTTCCCTTGGCGTGACGTCCTCTAGCCGCCCCATGGCACGCGCCTTGGCACGTCTCGTGGCAGGTCCTTGACACGTCGAGGGCACGTCCCTGACACGCCCCCTGGCGCATCCTGACACGCCCCCTGGCGCATCCTCTAATGCGCCCCTGGCACATCATGTGGCGCGTCCGTGAGCCTGCGCCCCGTTTCGTGTCGTTCCTTTTCGGAGCCGAGTCGGATTTTGAGGTCGAGTTGATTGAACGTCCCGCACGTTTCCATGTCAACTAGCTCTGGGCCAGCTACTATGTGCTCAGGCAGCTCGAGTTTAAGATCCAGATCAGTTCGGTCAGGACTCGGATGCAAAGGAGGACTCGATCCACGACGCTATAGAGCACAACCGCGGCATGGCACATCGCAATTCAGCACGGCGCAGCACAGCACAGCCCTTGGCACGGTACATCAAGATCGATGCATTCAGCCTTCCATTTTGGCACGTTCTTTGGCACGTTCCGTGGCGCGTCCCGTGGCGAGTCCCCCTGGCACGTCGCGCGGCGCGTCCCCTGGCGCGTCCCGTGGCATGTGCAGTGGCACGTTCCGTAGCGCGTCCTTTTGGCACGTCCCGCGGTGTGTCCCCATGGCACGTCCCCTGGCACGACCCTTGGCGCGTCCCTTGGGACGGTCCGCGGGGCGTCCCCCTGGCGTGTCCCCCTGTCAATTTGCTCTGGGGCAGCTACTGTGTGCTCAGGCAGCTCGAGTTGAAGATCCAGATCAGTCAGTTCGGTTAAGGACCCGGATGCAAAGGGGGACTCGATCCATAACGCTATAGAGCACAATCGCGGCATGGCACATTGCAATTCAGCGCAGTGCAGCACAGCACAGCCCATGGCACGGTACGTCAAGATCGATACATTCAACGTTGTAATTGCCCGTCGCCCAAACAAGTGTCTTGAAAATGCTGCCATGCCCTACGTTTATATCTTCCTTTCCGGGTTCGTGGGTCGATCATGTTTCTAACCCTGGACGCAGCTCCAAAGGCCAGCGGGTGGGGTCTCAAGAGGGGAAGGCCCCGTTAGACGTGGACATCAGGTGTGCATGAGCATGCGCAGCGCACTTGCAGTAGTAGTGCTGGTGGTGCTCCTCTTCCTCTCTCCTCTTCCTCGGGAACGATCCTCCCGAGCCGTTTGCCGACATGCCCCTGGGGGGTGCCGGCCCGTGGCTGGCCCGGAGGGCTGGGCGAGAAGTGCCACAGCGGGCCAGACGGCGGGGAGGAGGAGGAGGAGGAGGAGGAGGAGGAGGAGGAGGAGGAGGAGGAGGAGGCCCCGCCTGCCCGCTGAGCTCCACGGCCCTGTCTCCGGCGGCGGCACCGCGCCTCGCCCGCGCCGAGCCAGCGGCTCCCGTCCTCGCACGGGGCCGAGCCAGCTATTTCCGAGCGCAGTGTGCCCAGAGCTTTCGGGCGAGGGCGGCACGTCCCCCGCTCGCGCGGACCCCCCTCCTCCTCCTCCTCCTCCTCCTCCTCCTCCTCCTCTCCTCCTCCTCTCCTCCTCCTCCTCCTCCTCCTCCTCCTCCTCCTCCTCCTCCTCCTCCTCCTCCTCCTCCTCCCCCCTCCTCCTCCTCCTCCTCCCCTCCCTCCTCCTCCTCCTCCTCCTCCTCCTCCTCCTCCTCCTCCTCCTCCTCCTCCTCCTCCTCGTCCTCCGCCTCCTCCTGGATTGTCTGCCTGTCGGCTGCACAAAGGCTGCTGCCTGCGACCTTCGGGCCACCAGCTTCAGACATGTAGGAGGAGAAGGAGGAGCGGGATAATGGTAATGATGATGATGACGATGATTGTGATGATGATGCTAATGATGATGGGGATGATGATGCTAATGCCGATGATCATACGATGATGATGGTGATGATGATGATGATGATGATGATGATGATGGTGATGATGATGATGACGATTGTGATAATGATGATGAGGATGATGATGATGATTACGATTGTGATAATGATGATCATGATGATGATTATGATGATGGTGATGCTGAGTGTGATGAGTGTGATAATGATGCTGATGGGGATGCTGGTGATGATGGTGATGATGGTGATAGTGATGATGAGGAGGATGCGGATCAGGATGCTGCTGCTGCTGATGATGATGGTGGTGATGCTGGCGACGGTTACGGTGATGGTGATGGTGATGACGAGGACGATGATTATGACAATGACGATGATAATGATGTTGATGCTGCTGCTGTTTCTGCTGCTGCTGCTGACGATGCTGATGATGCTGACCATGATGATGAGGATGAGGATGAGGATGAGGATAAGGATGAGGGTCAGGAGGATGATGACAATGCTGATACTGCTGCTGCTGCTGCTGATGACGATGATGATGGTGATGGTGGTGATGGTGGTGGTGATGATGCTGCTGTTGATGCTGATGCTGATGCTGCTGATGATGATGACGATGATGATGGTGCTGCTGCTTCTGATGATGATGACGATGATGATGATGATGACGATGATGATGATGATGATGATGATGATGATGATGATGATGATGATGATGATGATGATGATGATGATGATGATGATGATGATGATTAGGAGGAGGAGGAGGAGGAGGAGCAGAGGGAGGAGCATAAGAAGGAGGAGGAGGAGGAGTAGGAGGAGGAGGGCACTGTGACTGCTGTACCACCAATTGCATGGCGCCTTGGCGTGTCTAATGTGCATCCCTTTATCTCACCCGCCGATCCTGTGCAGAGCGCCGTGCAGAGGCAGTGCAGATGCTTGCCGCCATCCAGTAAGCAGAGCCTTGATCGCCAGACTAGTATGCAGAGTATTCCTTTCGCTTCCCGGTGTGCACGTCCGGACCACGCACAGTCCAGTCGTCGTTGCGTGGACTCCTGGGGGCCTCATGGGGGCCTCTTGGAGGCTTCCTGGAGGCCTTTGGGGTCCTTGGGCGCCTCTTTGGAGGCTCGTGGGGGCGTCTTGGGCCGTCTTGGGGCGCTTTTGCACCGTCTGGCCCCGTCGGAGGCCGTCTTGGGGGTATCTCGGGGCCGCCTTGGGGCTCTCTTGGGGTCGTCCTGAGCCGTCTTCAGGGCCTCTTGGACTGTCTTAAGGGCCTCTTTGAGCTATCTTGGGGTGCTCTTGGGCCGTCTTGGAGCCCTCGTGGGCCGCATGGGGACCATCTTGGAGGCTACTGTGGCCGTCATGAGCCCCCGAGATTCCCAAAATGCGGAAACGCCAAAATAATTCAAACACCCAAGGAACAAGCAATGTTTTTTCCCGGAAAGGGCGGGGGCCCAGTGTTTTCTTTTAGCTGTTTACCCCTGGTTTCGACGGCTGTAGGGCCGGCGGAATTATTTTGCGATGAATAACGAGGTCGCCTAGGGCCGGCGGAACAATGTTTGAGGATGTCTCGAGCGAAACGCTTGTTTTTCAGAATTTGTTGAGGACCTCTCGAGCGAAACGCTTGTTTTGTGTTATAGATTGTCCTCTCCTGGGGGCCAGAATCCCGAGGATCTCTCAAGTGAAATGTTTGTTTTCACGTGCCCAGGTCTTGAGGATGTCTCGAGCGAGACGCTTGGTTTCACGCGTCCAGGTTGCCCAGACAGATGTCTAGCATGATGATTCGTTGAGAATGTCTCGAGCGAGACGCTTGGTTTCACGCGTCCTCGTCACCCAGGCGGATGTCGTGTTGAGGAAGTCTCGATCGAGATGCTTGTTTGCACGTGTCCAGGTTGCCCAGGCGGATGCCAAGCATGAGGATGTGTTGAGAATGTCTCGAGAGATACGCTTGCTTTCACGTGTCCAGGTCGCCCAGGCGGATGTCTAACATGAAGATGTGTTGAGGATGTCTCGAGCGAGACGTTTGCTTTCACGTGTCCAGGTCGCCCAGGCGGATGTCTAGAATGAGGAGGTGTTGAAAACGTCTCGAGCGAAACGCTTGTTTTCACGTGCCCAGGTCACCCAGGCGGACGTCTCACATGAAGATGTGTCGAGGATGTCTCGAGCGAACCACTTGTTTTCACGTGTCCAGTTCGCCCTGGCGGATGTCTAGCATGAGAGTGTGTTGAGGATGTGTTGAGCGAAACGCTTGTTTTCACGTGTCCAGGTCGCTCAGGCGGATGTCTAGCATGAGGATGTTGACAGGATGTCTCGAGCGAAACGCTTGTCCCCAGCACGTTCCGTAGCGCGTCCCCTTGGCACGTCCCGCGGTGCGTCCCCATGGCTCGTCCCCTGGCACGCCGCTTGGCGCGTCCCTTGAGGCGTTCCGCGGCGCGTCCTCCTGGCATGTCCCCCTGTCAATTAGCTCTGGGGCAGCTATGTGTTCAGGCAGCTCGAGCTTAAGATCCAGATCAGTTCGGTCAGGACTCGGATGCAAAGGAGGACTCGATCCACAACGCTATAGAGCACAATCGCGGCATGGCACATAGCAATTCAGCTCGGCGCAGCACAGCACAGACTTCGGCACGGTACATCAAGATCGGTACACTCAGCATTGCATGTACCCGTCACCCAATCAGGTGTCTTTGAAAACGCTGCCATGCGTTACATTTCTATCTTCCTTTCCGGGTTCGTGGGTCGATCATGTTCCCGGAAAGGGCGTGGGCCCAGGTTTGTTTTTTAGGGGGGTCCCCCCTGCCTCAACTTGTATAGAGCTGGCGGTATTATTCTGCGATAAATAACGAGGTCGCGTAGGGCGGGCGGGATTGACTTTTGGGGATGTCCCTAGCGAAACGCTGGTTTTTGAAAGTCCAGTCGATAAAACACAGGGTGATGTAAGCTTTTTTCCCGGAAAGGGCAGGGGACCAGGGTTCTCTTTTAGTATGTTTACCCCCGGTTTCGGCGGCTGTAGGGCCAGCGGAATTATCTTGCGATAAATAACAAGGTCGCCCAGGGCCGGCGGAACTAATTTTAGGATGTCTCGAGCGAAACGCTTGTTTTTCTGAATTTGTTGAGGATGTCTCGAGCGAAACGCTTGTTATGTGTTATAGATTGTCCTCTCCTGGGGGGCCAGAATTCCGAGGATCTCTCAAGTGAAATGCTTGTTTTCACGTGCCCAGGTCTTGAGGATGTCTCGAGCGAGACGCTTGGTTTCACGCCTCCAGGTTGCCCAGGCAGAGGTCTAGCGCCAGGATTTGTTGAGGATGTCTCGAGCGAGACGCTTGGTTTCACGCGTCCTCGTCGCCCAGGCGGATGTCCAGCATGAGGATGTGTTGAGGAAGTCTCGATCGAGATGCTTGTTTGCACGTGTCCAGGTTGCCCAGGCGGATGCCAAGCATGAGGATGTGTTGAGAATGTCTCGAGAGATACGCTTGTTTTCAAGTGATGTCTCGAGCGAACCACTTGTTTTCACGTGTCCAGTTCGCCCAGGCGGATGTCTAGCATGAGAATGTGTTGAGGATGTCTTGAGCGAAACGCTTGGTTTCACATGCCCAGGTCGCTCAGGCGGATGTCTAGCATGAGGATGTTGACAGGATGTCTCGAGCGAAACGCTTGTCCCCAACACGTTCCGTAGCGCGTCCCCTTGGCACGTCCCGCGGTGCGACCCCATGGCACGTCCCCTGGCACGCCGCTTGGCGCGTCCCTTGGTACGTTCCGCGGCGCGTCCTCCTGGCATGTCCCCTTGTCAATTAGCTCTGGGGCAGCTACTATGTGCTCAGGCAGCTCGAGCTTAAGATCCAGATCAGTTCGGTCAGGACTCGGATGCAAAGGAGGACTCGATCCACGACGCTATAGAGCACAATCGCGGCATGGCACATAGCAATTCAGCACGGCGCAGCACATCACAGACTTCGGCAGGGTACATCAAGATCGAGACACTCAGCATTGCAACTTGGCCCGTCACCCAATCAGGTGTCTTTGAAAACGTTGCCATGCGTTACATTTCTATCTTCCTTTCCGGGTTCGTGGGCCGATCATGTTGTTTGTTGCGGATGTCTCGAACGAAACGCTTGTTTTTCATAGTGTGTTGAGGATGTCTCGAGCGAAACGTTTGTTTTGTGCTATAGGTCGTTCCTGTCCTGGGGGCCAGAATTCAGAGGATGTCTCAGGTGAGATGCTTGTTGTCAAGTGCCCAGGTCTTGAGGATGTCTCGAGCGAGACGCTTGGTTTCACGTCTCCAGGTTGCCCAGGCAGATGTCTAGCATCAGGATGTGTCGAGGATGTCTCTCTCTCTCTCTCTCGAGAGAGAGAGAGAGAGACGCTTGTTTTCGCGCGTCCAGGTCGCCCAGGCGGATGTCTAGCATGAAGACGTGTTAAGGATGTGTTGAGCGAAACGCTT